GAATGGATCTGGTAACACACAAAAAGTGATCTATAAAGATTGAAGGGCCTGATGTGGTGGTGTATGCCTTTAATCTAAGCACTCAGGAAGCAGAGACAGGCAGATCTGAATTCAAGGTCAGCTTGGTCTACCTAATGAATTCTAGACCTGCCAGGGCTACATAGTGAGACTCTGTCTCAAAAACAAAAACAAGGGCTAGAGAGATAACTTAGTGGTTAAGAGCATTGGTTACTCTTCTAGAGGACCCAGGTTTGATTCCCAGAACCTGTATGGCAGTTAACAACTGTTCATAATTCCAGTACTAGGGGAATCCAACACCCCGTTCTGACCTTCATGGGGCACTGGATGACATGGCTGCAAAGAGTAAAGGTATTTTGAGCTGGATGCGGTGATGCACAATTGAGTTCCCAGTAGTTGGGAATCTGAGGCAGGAGGGTTAAGTTTGAGGCCAGCATGGGATACATGAGACCTTGTCTCAAAAACAAAACACAAGAAGAGATTAAAGTGGTTTTACTATGTAAGTATAAAGTTACAAATGACAGAACATGTTTTCAGACCTGCAATCTAGAACCTTGAGTCTGGTAGGCTAGAGATCTACGCTGAGCACACGCCCAGCCCCCTTTCTACTTTTTATTTTGAGGCAGAGCCTCACTAAGTTGTCCAGGCTGGCCTTGAACTCACTCTGTAGCCCAGTCAGGACTCAGTCCTCCAGACCTGGTCCAGTTCTGGCCTATTTGTCACAAAGAGGATTCTACTAAGAACCCAACAGTGTTCAAACATGATCTAACAAAGTTATGGGACAGTCTTTTGTTTACTTTTTTAAAACCTTTATTTTATTTAGATATTCAGATTATTTTGGTGGCTCCTAGGTTCTATCATCTCAAAGGTACTAACCTCCTGCCTCCCCTTTTCAATAACTGAGAGAGCCGTGGAGGTGCCTTGGCCAGTTCATATCTGTCAAGATGGAGCTGTGTGTCACAGGGGTTTCACTGGGTTTCTTGTGAGACTCCAAGAATCTGGGTGAGGAGAAAGGTCACCCTTGGTCTCTGAAGCCTTAAGCTTGGCTCATTGCTATATTTAATTTGCAAATATTTTATTTATTATTTTTATTTTATGTGTATGAGTGCACTGCCTGCATATGTGTAAGTGCACCTGTGCTATGCAATCCCCACAGAAGTCAGAAGATGGTGTTAGATTCCCTGGAACTGGAGATCTGGATGGTCATTAGCCGCCAAGTGGGTGCTAGGAATTGAACCTGGGTCCTCTGCAAAAGCAGTCAGTGCTCTTAACTGCTGGGCTATCTCTCCAGCTCCGTCCCATTGCTATTTTAATTTTTATTTAAAATATCTCTATATAGGATCAATATCACCTCTATGGAGACAACCTTCTTACCAAGTTACCTGCACTGGAATTTTTGATTCTCAGCTAGTGAGAGAAACTTCAACCAAACTCTGGATTGAGGGGCATCTCTCCTTTCCCAGGTCCCTCAGTTTTCCATTTTCCTACCCTGCCTCAGATACACAGGACGAGCAGGGGGGCCACCCTGATTCTGCGTGATAGATTTTAAGGTGCTTTGTGTCATGAGTGACAATGTGAAGGCAGTCAGCCGCAGCAGCGGACCCTGCTCCCATCTCTTTTGGAGCGTGGCTACAGGCAGAACAGTTCTGTATGGCCTTCTTTTGCTGCCCTTCCTGACGAGCCCCTACCATTTCCATATTCTTTCCTTTCACTTCGGGAAAATCATTGTATGGGGCTTTGCGGAGTCACTGGATGTTTTTGCACATTTGCTGTGATGGTCTCACTTACAGTTTGTTTGGTAACAAAGCTTAGATAGTAAGAAGTCAACTTCATTTAAAACAAGCAGCAAGTCAATAATGGGGCAACACCAGTGTGCTTCTACTGTTTATTCTTCAGCCTTTCTGAGGGCAGAGACTAAGTCATAGTACCATTAACTGCGTAAAGTTTGTACCGTTGTTTAGCAAATACTATTGAGCTTTTTGTATATGCCAGATTTGGAGCTAGGCACTAGTGATACAGAGATAAAATTTTGCTCCTTTCTTTCTAGACCACGTATCCCAGTAAGGGGGCATTTAAAAAAGCAATTTAAACTCAGTAAGAATTATGGAGACCAGGGCTGCAAAGATGGCTCAGAGGTTAAGAGCACTGGCTCCTCTTGCAGAGGACCTGGGTTTGATGCCCAGCACCCACATGGTGGTTAACAACAGTCCGTAACTCCAGTTCCAGGGGATCAGCTCCCTCTTCTTAACCATGCAGGCAATACACTCACACACAAAAATAAATATCATAAAATTTTTTTTTTAAAAAGAATTAAGGAGACCATGTAAGCAGGGGGACAGAAATTCTAGACAACTTTTGCCAGGAGAGAAGCTGGAGTTAAGATGTAGCGAACCAAAGCATATCTGGGGAGAAAGTTGGGGGGAAATTCCAGGATGACAACATGCGTAAAGACTCAGCCGTGAGCAGATATGGGCATCTGCAGAGAGGAACAGAGCAGAGTGGGGAGACGGGAGGGAAGGAACAGCACCACGTGAAAGAACTCTGACTGGAGGTGAAGGATGGCACTCTGAAGACTTCGGGGCAGGGCAACCACCCTGATGCTGCAGTTTTCAAAGTCCTTCCTGCTAGCTGAATGCAGGTAGTAAAGACCCAGGACCCAGCCATGAACCCAAGCTGGACCATCATGCCTGCACATAAGTGGGACTCAATAACTTTGTGAATGAATGAATGATGATGACAGTTCAGTGTTGCCATTCTTCTTAAAAATATTTTATTATTTTATGTGTATGAGTATATTGCCTGCATATGTAAGTGTACCCATGTTGTGGGTCACTCATGGAGATCAGAAGAGGGCATCAGATTCCCTGGAACTGGTCTAGGGGACAGTTGTTAGCCGCCATGTGGGTGCTGGGAATCTAACCCCAGTCCTCTGCAAGAGCAGTCAGTGCTCTAACCCTGGGGCATCTCTCCAGTGTTGCCATTCTTGATATGTCATGCATGTACAGAGCTGCAGGGCCAGAGAACACAATTCTTTCTTGAGAGGACTTGGGGGTGTTTGTCATAATCAAACCACATTTTGAGAAAGTATTCTGGCTGTAGGAGCAAGATGAGCTGAAAGGGAGCTGCCTGGACCACACATTAACTGCTGATGGAGAGGAAGTAACAAAAGTGTGGGGAAGGGAGTGGGGAGGGAGGATGCTCCATCTGTGCACCTGGCACGGGATGCCAGCTCCTCCCCTTCCTTGTATTCACCGGTGGAGCTGAGACAATGTCTATTGTCTAGGGTTCTAAGAATGAAAATGTAATGGCAAACTCTTAGATGAACTAGACTCACAACACAAGGCAGCCACGCTAATCTGCAGCCTATCACTGTGATAAAATACCTGGGGCTGATAGCCAAGTGGGCGTGGTGGTGCACGCCTTTAGTCCTAGCACTCAGGAGGCAGAGGCAGGCGGATCTCTGTGAGATGGAGACCAGCCTCGTCTACATAGTGAGTTCCAGGCCAGCTGGGCCTACAGAGAGACCCTGTCTCAAAAAGACCAAAAAGAAAAAAAATGCCTGCGGCTGGGTACCGTACAAAGAAATCTGTTGAGCTCAGACTTCTGGAGACTCCAGGGCACAGCAGGGGTGTTGGCTTATCTGGTGAAAGCAGGTTAACACAGCAAATGTGTGTTTGAGAGGAAAATTTCACATACCAAGACACAGAGCCAGACCGAGACTGCGGAGCTAAGACGAAAGGCTCTTTGATTCCTTTTCAAGGCAGCACACCCCATCACCTGGTTACTTCCCTTCAGTCCTACTTCCTGAAAGTCCCACCACCTCTTAGTACCACACAAGAGATCAAACTTCCAACACAGGCACCTTTAGAGGCTGTGCTTAACTCATTCCCAGGCTCTAGCAGTGGCTGTCACAGCGGACCCAGGCTCGATTCCCAGCACCCACAGGGCAGCTAACAACTGTCTATAACTCCCGGTTCCAGAGGAATCCGAGGCCCTCTTCTGACCTCCTCCGGCACTGCAAGACATGGATTTTACATACACGCTGGCAACACACTCATACACAAAAAATAAAAATAAAATTGAAAAAAGCAAACTGACTGCTCTTGGTCTTCAAAGCTTTCTTCCAAACTGTACTTATTTTAAAAACTTGTTTACCCCTTACTGTTTCCCAGATTCATTCCAGGAACGGAAATACCCTAAATCCCCCAGGTTCAGAGCATCCCATGGTCGGAGGCAGTCAGTACTACAGCACTGGTTAGCACCGGTCCAGCAGAGTTCTGCGCCCTTGTAAGGCGTATGCGGACCCACGCTCTACCTGGTCCGCTGGGCTGACCAGGCTTCGCGCACCCTGGGGACAAAGGCTGGGTCAGGGCACTGGTGCTGCAGGAGGCTGCGGTCCCGCGGCCCTTCTCCAGCTCCTGCGGGTCCCACAGCCCGATCCCCGCCGCCTGACGTCCCCGCATCCCGAGGTCCCAGCCCCTGGAGGTCTCCGCCTACCGATGTACCCATCGCCAACGGGCCACCTAAGAGCCCAGAATCCAGAGGTCTCGGGGTAACGCACCCGGTTGTCTGCGCACCCCGAGGTCCTCCACTGCCTTAGGTCCCCTCATCTCGCGGTCCCAACACCCGAGGTCCCCGCATCCCGTGATCCCCTGCAACTTAACGTCCCAGAATCCGGAGGTCCCCGCACCCCGAGGTCCCCCCACTGCCCGAAGTCTCCGTAACCCGAGGTCCCGCCGCCCGAGCCCCCAGGCTGGACTTGGGTGGTCCCGGCCGCACCACGTGGGTCTCCACCCCCGCGCCGGAGGTGGGATAGGGATGCTCCAGGCAACGCCTCCGCCGCCCGCCAATGAGCAGCGGGACCTGCCTCGGGGCCGCCTCTGATTGGCCACGCTGCCCGAGGCCTGCGCCGATTGGCCGCCTCGGCCCCGCCCGCGCCGGAATATAAGGCGGAGGTGTGCGCTCCAGTCCCCTGCGCGCCTCCTGCTCCGCCCCGGTGCTCCCCTGTGGTCCTCCTCCGGGATCCTCCTCAGCGATCCTCCCCCGTGGGCCTCCTCCCCGGTGGTCCTCGTTCCCCGTGGTCCTCCTCCGGGGTCCTCCTCCCCCGTGGTCCTCCTCCCCTCCGTGGTACTCCTCCTCCGCGCCCTCCTCCTCCGCGCCCTCCTCGCCTCCCGGTCCCCGCAGCCGGCATGCAGAAGGACGCCTCCCCTCGCGGCTTCCTGCCCAGCTTCCGGCACTTCGCCACGCAAGCCATCCACGCGGGACAGGAGCCGGAGCAGTGGACGTCGCGCGCCGTGGTGCCGCCCATCTCGCTGGCCACCACGTTCAAGCAGGGCACGCCGGGCGACGACGCGGTGAGCCGGGGGCGGGGGGCGGGAGAGCGGGGCGCGCGGAGGATGCTCTGCTGCCCTCGCAGCTGGTGCAGGAGCAGAGGCCTCAGATAAAGCTGCGGGCAGTCTGTGCAGCCGGCCGCTCCACCGGCCGAAGTTCGTGTGGCCTTGGCAGACTTCGTGAATTACCTGTAGCAGCAATCCCCCAGAGCTACAGTAAGAAGTCAGCTGTAAAAATACGAAGGGCCTTGGGCCGGTGGGATGGTTCCGCAGGTAAAGGCGCTTGCTGACCAAGCCTGACCACCAGAGTTTGATCCCCGGAACCCACAGGGTGGAAGGAGAGGACAACTCCTGTCCTCTGACCTCCACAGGAGCACGCAGACACAGACACAGACACACAGACACACTCACCCAATAAATAAATGTAAAAAAAAAGACTTGATAAACCACCTAAAATTAAGATCAGTCTCAATAAGTGTGCTCAGTTAATAGTGACTGAGACCTGTGCGCTAAATGCACACTTAGAACACGTGTATTACATGCAGGGACCCATCAACAGCCCTAGCCTGAACTAAATTCTCGATTGAAATAGCTGAGATTTAGGGTCACCAGGCGGCTGGCCCAAGGCTCATAAGTGCTGAAGCTAAGTGTTGTGGAGCCGGTAGTCCTGCATCTGGCTGCATGGAGCGCCGCCCTGGAACCATGCTAGTAAGAGTTCAAGCTATTGCGTCATACATCAGCTCTTCTGAGCTGGGTAACCTGGGGGAAGTTATTTAACCCATCCAAGCATGGAGTTCGGTTATTAATAGAACCCACCACATGAGCTGTTACTGTTTGTAAACATTATGGTGCACACTCATTACTCGAGTACTTTGTGTTTCACACTGTTCACATTTGCTGTATCCATTTGATCACCACAACAGCCAGGTCAGAGGGCTTTTATAGAGAAGGAATTGACCCAGACTCAGGTGACTTGTAAAGCCTTTAAAATGCATGCACTCTTGTTACACGGCTTCTTCCTCTTTGGTGGCTTAGAAGGATGGATATTGGAGTATTAAGAAGTTGCCCAAGGTTCAGAAGATACTAGTAAACTAACTGCCGCAGGCTCCCAGACCTTGGTTTTGCACTGAAAACTACTTTTGTGTGTTGTCCATCAAGGAAAGTTCTTACAAGCTTAGCCCTTGTATCGTGAGGTAGAGTTTTAAGGACATTTCTACAGCTTGTTAGGATGTTCCTGACTAATAATTTGGAACGAAAATGTGCATGGAACCTCTCCTCCTTGTTTGTGTGTGTAGGTTTGCTGTCCGGGTTCCAAGGGCTCGAAGTTAATCATTCAGGTGTGGTATTAATGATTACATGGTCCTGAAAGTGAGCCAGGAGGGGTAAAGCCAGCTCTGCTCAGAATCTTCAAAAGAGAATAGCCCTGCAGGCCAAGTGGAGAGCTGAATAGGACACACTGGAATCGTTAGTTCCGTTTGAAAAGCCATGGAATGTGGTAGGCAGTTGCCTCTGAAACAAGCTCTCCAACCCCCCAAACGTAAACATGTGCATATTTATGAATATGTGTGGCAGCATGGGGGGCAGGTTTCTGATCCAAGCATTTCGGGGGATTTTGGTATGTACAGCAGCAGAGGGCAGTGGGGAGGTTTGAGGGTGTTCTGAGCCCTGTGAAATCTGCCTGCCCAGTTTTGTCAAAAACAAAGAATAAAACTTTTAAAATTACGGGTACTAGAAGCTCTGGAATCTGAAATAAAGGTAAACAGTGGTTGCAATTTGTCGTGTGCTATGTAAAGCGGGAGGAAGAAATTATAGGACTTGTTTGTATGTTTGTTTGAGACAGTCTTGTATTGTGTAGCCCAGGCTGGCCTTGAACTCACAGATCTGCCTCTGCCTCTTGAGTATTGGGGTTAGAGGCGTGTGAATGTTCAGGTCCTAGGATTGACACAGGCTCTCACACGCTCCAGGTCTTCCAACATTTAACTTCACATTCCTCCAAGCAGGCCACAAGGTTAAGTAGAACATTAGGTGAATTCAGGGCCTGTGGTGTCCTAAGTATGCAGGGAGCCCAACATGGGATTTTATAAGGTACTTTGAGGAGAGGAGGTGCTTTGCTGAGAATTGCTTCCTCTTTTTTTTTTTTTTCTTTTGAGTCGTTTTTGTAGAGTTAAGATTTGATCCCTAATGACCCGTATCCTGCCCGTGTGGCTGGATGACTTGCATCACTTTTGTCTTTGGAAGAGAAGCACAGGTTAGAATTAGGCTGCTAGGCTGGCTCATGTAACCCCTTTTCCTAGTATGTCCAGCTTGTAAGGCAAAGATGAGCCTAACCTAACAATGCACTGCTGTGTTAAGAACCGCCACTTGGAGTTGTGAGCAGCAGTTTCATGAACTAGACATTTGTATTTTTCCACTCTCAGACTAAGTCTTAGAAATGCTAACCCTAACCCATCAGTGTCTACCTCATAAGTGGCAGGCATGTCATTCCAATCCACGTTGGTCATCTTTGAGCATGTCCACACTGACACAGCCACAATGCCACATTTCTGTCTCATGAGTGTATAATAGAAGTCACTATGGTGGGATGGGCCCACAGCTGTGATGATGCTGTTAATAAACTGGAAGTTCTTAAGATGAACGCTTTTCTTCTTCAGGGTTTCCAATACAGCCGTTCTGGAAATCCCACGAGAAATTGCTTGGAAAAAGCAGTGGCCGCACTGGATGGGGCAAAGTACAGTAAGTGACTTGATTTCAGTGGAGGCAGGATCCTTTTTTAAGTGTCTGGGGACCATGGAGGCGCAGAGGTAGAACTGGAAAGAAATAGAGATTCCCCTGTTTTCCTAAGACAGTGAATCTCCTGCCCAGTATCCTCAGTTGGAACATGCTTGTGTGTTCTCGCCAGCTAGAGGTCAGTACGGACAGATGCAAAACACCAGCACTGACTGTTCTGTGTTTTGGTAATTCCACCCTTCATCTCAGGCTATCACTTTGCAAAAGCCGCAATCAGAGGAGCATACTCCCAGGACCTTGTCACAAGGGTGTTCTTGTTAAGTCCTCTGTGTCTCTTATATAGATGATGTGGAATGAGAGAACAGAAGAGAATCTCAGAATCATGTGTGTGTGTGTGTGTGTGTGTGTGTGTGTGTGTGTGTGTGTGTGTGGTATACACACGTATTTCTTGAAGTGGAGACGGGGTTGTTAGGACCTTATTTACAGGAGTTCAGCACTGGCTCAGACAGCAGCACAGGGGCCCAGGGTGATGCAGGTGAGCACTGGGTGGCTGCTCAGCCTTCAGGTCTGTGTCTTCAGCTGACTTGAATTTGTGTTTTGTGACAGGTTTGGCCTTTGCTTCAGGGCTAGCTGCCACCGTGACAATCACCCATCTTTTAAAAGCAGGAGACCAAGTCATTTGCATGGATGATGTGTACGGAGGTAGGTGACCTATCTGGTTCCTAGTATATGCCAGCTGATGCCTTAGAGATAATACGGTGAGCCTTGAATGATATGGGCACCGTTGCACCCCATCCCAGCTAGACTCCACATTCCAGAAGGGCTTCTAAGAGATTGTCTAATAAAATGCGTGTTTAAGCTGCGGTAACAAGGATGTGGGGTTTGCTCAGCCTCCAGACTCATTGCTTTTGGGCAAAGCTTCCTAAACTGGGGGTCCTGGCCCCGTATGAGGCGCAGTCATTTCTGAGTGTTCAGGGGCCAGTACTTCAAAATCAAACTCATGAATCTGAGGTGTCCCTGGCAACTGCCACCCACATTGCATCATGGGATGTTACCATAATCTTGGATCTGAACACACAACATTCACACTTTATACTGGGCATGCCATCACAGCATGCATGCAGTGCCAACAGATGCTGCTTGAACCATCTTCAGTGTTTTTATTGAATGCACAGTTTTCTGCTCTTATAAAAACATGTTTTAGATGAATCTGGAGGGACCGCTCAGTGGTTAAGAGCTCTTGCTGCTCTTCTAGTGGGACCCCAGTTCAGCTCCCAGCACCCACACTGAGCTGCTTACAGTTGCCTGTAACTCCAGTTCCAGGGGATCTGGCACTTGGGCACTGCACTCAAGTGGCGTGCACACACACACACACACACACACACACACACACACACATACACACGTATTGTTAAAAAAAAAACTATAAAACTTAAAAACTATATGTATGACTAAAAATTTTAAAATAAATTTCTTCATGATTTATTGCCTCTAAATCTTTGATTCAATACTTATTTTATGTGTCTAAGTGCCAGGGATTGTGTAAAAGTTCCTCAGGTAAAAGGGGTTATGAGGAGAAAAAGGTTGAGAAGACTTGCTCTAGAGATGAGAATATTTAGAGAGAGTGTGCCCTAGAGTTGTTGAAGATTTTTATCCACACTGGCCAACACCGATTCATTTATTTATTTAAATTTTATTTTATTACGTTTATCTATTTATTGTGTGTGTGTGTGTGTGAGTGCACATGCTGTGACATATATGGAGGTCAGAGGAGAACTTGTGTGTCATCTCTGTTTCCATCATGTGGGTTTGGTGATCAAACTCAGGTCATAGACTTGGCCACGAGCACCATTACCCACTGAGCCATTTCACCAACCAGTGAATCATTTATTTTAGATTCTCAAAAGAAGTTGTTAACGGTTGTTCGTGCTGTAATCCCAGTACTGAGTACTTGTGGGGGTGGGACAGAAGGCTTGCCATGAATTATCCACCTTGGGCTACATAGTGAGTCGGCTGGGTTACAGAGTGAGACCCTGCCTTACTCACACACATATGTGCAGACATCCTTACAGATGATGGTGGTGTGTCAGGAGGGAGCCGCTCAGTGCTTGAAGAGTAGAGAGGGGTTTTACTGAGGAACGGTTTCCGCTTCTTGACGCTTCATGTCCTGTGTGTTTTATTCGGCTCCCGAACCTTTAAGTCAGATTTGTTAATCTGTAGTATAGCGAGGAACAAGCTGCTTAGCTGCACTGAAGTCGCTTTAGTTGTTTCTCCTCCTGCTCGTGAGCACGCAGGTCTGCCGGGAGCAAACCCTTCCTGCCACGGTTCTCAGCCCGTTTTCTGATTTCTGCCTCAGGCACCAATAGGTACTTCAGGAGGGTGGCACCTGAATTTGGACTGAAGATTTCTTTTGTGGATTGTACCAAAACCCAATCACTAGAGGCGGCGATTACACCGCAAACCAAGGTACCTGATAGTTGACCTTTGTCTGTTTTCTTTCTGTTGTTCTGTCTCCGTCTCTTGTGTTCATTGGAGGGTATAATTTAAATCCCATAACATTTCACTGAAGCCGTGGAAACCTGGGCTGGGGTCTCCATGGTTCGATAAGATAATCACTAGGGGTTGACACACCAGTTCTGGAGTGGAATTCAAATCCTGATGTCGTTGGCATATTTTGGATAAATGATTTAACCAGAGTTTGAGTTTCTTCATTTGAAAGAAAGTGATTGCTTCAAAGAAGGGTGATTGTAAAAAGTGAGGGACGGTGGGTGTGAAATGCTTAGTGTAGCAAGAGTTTAGTGTTAACCATAATAAAGAAGGAATGATAAAACAGAGAGATGGGGGCGCTGGAGAGATGGCTCAGCAGTTAAGAACACTGGTTGTTCTTTCAGAAGATCCGGATTCGAATCCCAGCACCCACGTGGCAGCTAACAACTGTCCTTAACTCCAGTCCCAGGGGATCCGACAGCCTCTTCTGACCTCTGCGGGCATTGCATGATGCGGGTGTACTTACCTACATGCAGGCAGTACATGCATATACATAAAAAACAAAAATAATAAATAAAATAAAAAAGAATTAAAACAAACAAACAAAGAAACAGAGTGATTGGTCTGGGAAGGAAGCTGATGCCTAATTTCCCTCAGAAGATTCAGTTTATTCGGATAATGATTTATTAGGAGATTGGGTCTGGACGTAGAGGGAGAAGAGAGCGTTAGACAGAAAGTGGTCCAGTGTATTAAAAACCACATAGCAGGGCTTCAAGGGAAGAGAGGCTTCATTAGGAGTGACTGACATCGGCAGCTGGAGAGACCATTCCATGGTGAAGAGGGTGTGCTGCTCTTGCAGAGGACCCAAGTTTGGGTTCCAGCATCCTTGCTTGGTGGCTCACAGCTGCCTGTTACTCCAGCTCTAGGAGGGTCTGCTGCCTCTGACTCCCACAGGCGCATGCACTCACATGTACATATGTACACATGGAAACACATACATTAAAAATAAAAATCTTTAAAAAGTAAAACACTGAGAAAGGGATGGGGGGAGGGAGGGAAGGAAAAAGAGAGAAAGAGAGAGCGTCACCATGTTAGGCATGTTGGGGCCAGAGGAGCCTTTTTGAAGTAAATGCCCTGAGCATTTGTACACACCCTGCCCAGCAATCCCAAGAACAATAGCATACCAGGCAGTTTTACAAGTTTGGGGGCTGGTAAGAAGTTTCCTCTCACGTGGCTTAGTTCAACATGGCTTATGTGACAGGATCCTGGAAAAGCCAGGTACTGGGCAGGATCATAAATCAAGGGGCCGTTAGGCTATGGCACAGAGGGCTTCTTGACGGAGAGAGAGAGAGAGAGAAGAGAGAGAGAGAGAGAGAGAGAGAGAGAGAGAGAGAGAGAGAATGGGAGAATGGGAGAATGGCTTGATCTCTTCAGGCTGAGATCTGGCCTTTGAAAAGTGACCAGTGTCTTTCAGAGGCAGGCCAGTGTTTGAACAGTAGGTTGTAAATTTTTTCTGTGCACAGATTTGCTGTGTAGCTCAGTGGTGCTAGTGTGGATTCAGCCCTCAGCACCGCCAGAATTTCTTTTTCAATTCAAGAGCAACACCTCAGCCTTAGCAAGCTGTTACTTTTGGTCGTAAGTCCTCCAGGAGACAGGATTATATATGAAGGAAGCTTGCCGACCTCGGCACCCTCAGCCAGTGGCCTTGTCAGGGTCTGCAGGAGACTGCCTGCCACCAATGGTCATAGAGAATGAGCCACAAGCAGCTCTAGCCGGCCCTGGGAAGCTCGTGTGGCCGGAAGGTGTTTGTGCCTGACTGAATGGTAGATGTGGCTCTTTCTAGAGCCCTCATTTAAATTCTGCTGGAGTTAAAGAAGGGCCAGTGTCTTTTATGAGTGAGGCTTTTCCAGCTCCTTGCTAAGATTAAAATGTTAGACTTGTACCCAAGATCATGTTGCAGCAAACACTAAAAGATGAAAGTTTCTTCTCATACAAAATGATTTCCGTCTAGATTACTATTAGGGGAAGCTTTTGCTAATTAAGGTTTGTTTTCAAAGGAAGTTGTTTTTTCTTAATCTTGCTGGAAAGAAAAGAACTTATTCAAATTGCTGGCCTGAGTCTTTCTCAGGGAAGAAATCAGATCACAAATATGACAAATTTTGTTCACACAGTTTTATTTGCTGGTTCTTTCCTGACTTGAATTAATACATTTTCCCCTGAGATACCAGGCTTGGCTTTTAAAGTCAGATTTTTAAGTCCATATAAAACCCATTTTGTACTTAGTTACTTGTTTTTCATTTTTGTTTTTTCAGCTAAACGTACCCTTTAGACTTGGTTTGCATTATTGAGTGCTCCCGTGTCGTGCAATGCCGCAGAGGTCAGAAGAGGGCTTTGGATTCCCCTGGAACTGGGGTTAAGGATGGTTTGTAGCCGCCATGTGGGTGCTGGGAATCAAACCCGGGTCCTCTGCAAGAGCAGTCAGTGCTCTTAACCTCTGAGCCATCTCTCCAGCCCCATTGCTTATTTTTAAGTTATCTGGGTAAGAGTAATAAATTCTTACCTAGGAATCTTTTTTTATAGATCTTTAAAGAAATCAAGACTTACAGAGTATGTTATGCTAACTACTTTACTTTTTATAGTGAACTTCTAGAGCAGGAAGCGGATTAAGCCAGGTCTCTTGCTGGTTTATGTAGGTGGCATAAAGAGTCATTAGTTCTTCTTATAAAAAATATTTATTTTTATTTTATTTCATTTTATGTGTATGAGTGTGTTGCCTGTCTGTATACAAGTGCACCTATGTCATGCAATGCCCGAGGAGGTCAGAAGAGGGCATCAGATCCCCTGGAATTGCCATGTGGGTGCTGGGAATAGAACCCAGGTTGTCTGCAAGAGCAGACGGTGCTCTTAACCACCAAACTCTCTCTCCAGCCCTCGTCATTAGCTCTATTAAAGGGAAGATAATGCAGTTGGATGCAGAGGCACCTTGTTTTTGCACTGTTGGGGAAGTGGCGGATCAGTGCTGTACCAGGGAGTGGTTCTCTCTTTCCCAAGTGAGCTGTAACTGGCTTTCTGTGTGGCTTTCACGTCTTTCAGCCTAACACACATCCTCAAGCTCATACTTAACTATCTGAAGTATTCTTAGCAGCCTTGGCATAATTCTTAGAAATGCGAAGTCTAGGATATATACAGAGTCTCATGTATCCCAGGCTGTAGCTGAGTGGAACCTTGAACTCCTGATTCTCCTGCCTATACCTCTTAAGTGCTGAGATTAAAGGCACCCCCCCATCGTTTACATTTCTGGGGACTGATCCCAGGGCAGGCTTCCTGCACAGTAGGCAAGGCCTCTCCCAACTAAACTACACCCCGAGTACTAAGGTTTCATATGTGTATATATGTATTATATATGTAATATATAATTTATATTGATATTTATATAATCTATTATTTGTCTTTGAGAACAAAATTTTGAGACACTAAACTATGTCTTTGGGATAATTGTCTTTTTCTTAATGGGAAATGATTATAAAATTAACTTTAGTACTTTCCTGCTTAGATGCACATCATCTCATTTTGTCCTAATAATAACTCTGTAAGGTAAATATCACCAGCCCTGTTACAGGGTGAAGAACTGGAGAAAGCCAAAGCAAATTTACTCGGTCAAGACTTTTCAGAAATTTGTAGGGGCAGCGCAGATTCAGACTTGACCTCCTGCTTTCACTGTCTGTGCCTTTGCACATGGCACGAACAGCTCTATAGCTGATGTAAGACTGATGCATGTGTGGTATGTTTTACAATTTTTGTTTGCTGAATTACTGTAGCTTGTTTGGATCGAAACCCCCACAAACCCGAACTTGAAGATGGCTGACATCGAAGCTTGCGCACGTGCCGTCCATAAGCACAGAGACATCATTATGGTCGTGGACAACACTTTCATGTCGGCGTATTTCCAGGTGAATGAAAGGAAGACCTTAGTATGATTAATGAGCCACACAGATATCTGTAATTGGGAAAGGGCTAATTTACAACAAAATCACCAGACTCCTGAATGGAACTATTATTAGTTAGACAAAGAATTGAATTTGGATTTTTTTTAAACCATTAGCTAATATATTTTTATTTGTTTATTATTTATTTATTTATTTATTTATTTATTTATTTTTATTGTCGTTTTAAGACAGGGTCTCCCTATAGCCCCAGCTGGCCTGGAACTCACTATGTAGACCAGGCTGGCCTTGAACACAGAGATCCGCCTGCCTCTGCCTCCCAAGTATTGGGATTAAAACTGTGTGTCACCACACCTGGCCAGCTACTATCTTATTAACTATTTTATTTTTAAGTGTGTATGTGCATGCGTGCGTGCGCGTGCACCTGCACGTGTGAGTACAGTGCCTGTGGATGCCAGAGGCATTGGTTGCCCTGGAGCTGGAGTTATGGGTGATTGTGAGCCAGCCTAATGTGAGTGCTGGGAACCAAATTTGGTCCTCTGCAAGAGCTGTATGTGCTCTTTACCATCTTGTCCAACTCCCTTAGTTAATAGAATTTCAAAACTATGTTAATGTCTTGAAGGAAGTTTTGTTGGTAATAGTGAGCCCAGAGTATGAGAGTAAAGGAATTTGTACTATAGGCAGAAGCACAGGGGATGAGCGCTCAGTCTGCATCCCCAGGAGGGAATGGGGTCCTTTATAGCAGCTGAGTTACCTGGCCTTGCCTCCTGGGCCATGTGTGTGGAGTCACACCAGAATAGATCAGAGGATGGCAGCTCACTATCCTGTTAGGTGGCAAACTGTATAACAACACTTACCCTTCCTGAGACAGGCCATTTGGGATTCGGTGCCAGGAGTCATTTGGAGTTAGGCTCTAGATGTTTCTGTGGGTGTGAGAGGGTCAGGCTCTAAGCGCTTAGGGCCTGAAATTAGGGATTTAGCCTTTTATTTAGAAACTTTTTGTTTCTGCATATGATATCTGTGTCTTTAGACTATCCTGTAGGTCAAGATTTCTGGTCCTCTTAAGATATGTAGAGTCTGTGTAGACTTGGATTGTTATGTTAGTATCTGCAGATTCCTTCCACATCATAGGCACTAGGATGCCTCTGTGTTGGTTGTCGATCCATGTTGCTCTTAAGGAAACCTCACGTATCTTACGACTATTACATGTTAGTCAGGTCAGAACCTTCCCAATAGACAAAGCTGTGACGTCTTAGTGTGCGTCACGTCTTCTTTCCAGTGCTCCTTCCCTGAGCCCCCCACTGACTAGTCCCAGTACTTTGTCTTCTACTTGTTCGTATTTGGAATTTCCACTTCCTGTTTTGCTATGACTACAAACATGAAGGCTGCCATCCTGGCCCTCTTGGGCTGCCGCGGTACCATGCTGTGACCTGGGCAGCTTCAGAACAGGACACTGTTTCTCACAGTTCTGAGTCCAGCATTGAGGTGCCTCTCATGCTGAGAGGTAAGCCGAAGTTACTCCCGGCTTGCCGAAGGCACTGGGTCCCCAAAGGGGAGGCACCCAGGCGACTCTCTGGGACTCTCATGAGGCTCTGATCCCTCTCGTGAGGGGTCTGTCCTTAGGAGCTCATTATGTCCCAGAGCCCCAACTCCTAACACCATGAAGTTGGTGATTCGGTGTGACATAGGGGCACAGACATTTCAGTCATAGCCATGGTGCTTTCTAGTTAGTTTGGGCTGCATAGAGATACTCTGTCTGAAGGAAAAAACCCCAATATGTAATCTCCCACCCCTATGTGTACGAATTTTAAAGGCTAAAGGATTAATTTGCAGGAACAGGAGAAAATAAAGGCTAAAGGATTAATTTGCAGGGCAGGAGAAAACAATCTGAACAAACGTTTTAAATTTTTGATTTTCTTATTCTTGTGTGTGCTGTGAGGTGGAAGGAGAGGTCTGAGGACAACTTGGTCAAGTTGCTTTTCCCCTTCAACCTTTACATGGGTTCTGGGGATTGAACTTAGATCACCAGGCTTATGCAGCAAGCACCTTACCCATTGAACCGTCTCACTTGCCTGAACAAATTTTTTAAATTTTTTTATTTTTTGTTTTTTTTTTTTGACAGTGTCTCCCTGTAGTCCCAGCTGGCCTGGAACTCCCTGTGAAGACCAGGCTGGCCTTGATCTCATAGAGATCCACCTGCCTCTGCCTCCTGAGTGCTGGTATTAAAGTGTGTGTCACCATGACCAGCTTATTTTTTTAATGGACTTTTTAAAGATGTCTTTCTATTTTATGTATATGTGTGTTTGCCTACATGTGTGTATATTCACCATATGTGTGCTTGGTGCCCAAGGAGGACAGAAGAGGGTGTTGAATTCCCTGGAACTGGAGTTACAGGTGGTTGTGAGCCTCCATGTGTATGTTGGGAACTGAACCTGGGTCTTCTAACAGGAACTGCAAATGCTCATAATCTCTGAGCCATCTCTCTAGCTCCTGAACAGATAAAGTCTTTTTTAAAAAAATATTTTATTAGCCGGGCATGGTGGCGCATGCCTGTAGTCCCAGCACTTGGGAGGCAGAGGCAGGTGGATCTCTGTGAGTTCAAGGCCAGCTTGGTCTACATAGTGAGTTCCAGGACAGCTGGGGCTACAGGGAGACCCTGCTTCAGAAAGACAAAAAATTTATTTATTATTTTTATTTTATGAGTATGTGTATATTGCCTGTGTGTAGGTAACCAGTGTACCTGTGTTGTGCAGTGCCCGTGGAGAACAGAAGAGGCTGTCAGATCCCCTGGAACTGGAGTTACAGACAGTTGTTAGCTGCCATGTGGGTGCTGGGATTTGAACCCGGGTCTTCTGCAAGAACAACCAGTGTTCTCTCCAGCCCCCAAATAAAAGTCTTTATAAGTGACTTTCTATTAGTCAAAACTTGAATAATGAAAGAATGATTAACAGTTAAAATCATAACACATCAAGTGTGAATAATCACAGCATACCCCATAAGGTTTTAATGATTAAAAATCTAAGCAGATTAGCTTGTACTTACTTGGCATAAAAACTGCCAACTGCTTCTGTAAACTGTTTTACGTGTTTAATGAGCTGTAAAATACCAACAGCTCTGCTGTAGGTAATAATCCAGGACCAGTCAGCAACTGTAAAGAAAAAGGTTCAGGGGCAGGTTGACCTGGGCTGGGCTGGAACTTGAGCCTTCAGACTCCACCCTGAGCCCAAGTTTTTTATCTTGATGTTTATTTGGTAGAATGGAGTCAAGGGGCAGATAAGATGTGCAGTTTTTTAAAAAGCTGGGTTAGACTCAGACTGGAAACAGCCAGCGGGTGTGGATAGAATAGTGTATTTCCTCTTCCTTTTTCTTTATTGATTGTTTTTATTTCATGTGTAAATAATCTGATGCCCTCTTCCCCTGGAACTGAAGTTACAGACAGCTGTTAGCTGTCACGGTGCTGGGCATAGAACCTGGGGCCTTTTCAAGTGTAGCCAGTGCTCTTAACTGCAGAGCTGTAGCTCCAGTCCCAGAACAGCATATTTCCAACTGGTTTCTCATTTAAAGTCCAAACATCTTTTCTCTTTCAGCGACCTTTGTCTTTGGGAGCTGATATCTGTATGTATTCTGCCACAAAATACATGAACGGTAAGACAAGTCCAGCTCACATTTTAGATGTTCTTCAGCAGATGGTGGTGGCCGGGGCCCTGAGTTTGGCCTCTTTTCTTCTGCTATTATGTGGAATTTATCTGTGACTCGCTGAAAGTCAGACTAACGAAAAAAAGACTGATTAAATATGTGGTTTAATTATTATTAATTTATTAATTTCCTTTTGTTTGGTTGGTTTATTTATTTTTATCATTTAAAAAAAAATGTGTGTATGTGGAAATGTGCATGTGAGTGCGGGTGCCTGCAGAGGCTAGAGGCATCAGATCCCCCTGGACCCAGAGTTATAGGTGGTTGTGAGACACCCCCTGTGGGTGCTGGGAACTGAACTCAGATCCTCTGCAAGACCAGCAAGCTTTCTTAACCACTGAGCCATTTCTCCAGCCCCCTTGGTTTTTTCGAGACAGGTACTCATGTAAGCCAGGCTGGCCTGGAACTTGCTATGTAGATGAGACTGATCCTCCTGCCTCCACCTCCCAAGTGTTGGGGTAACAGGTGTGGGCCACACACCCAGAGGATTCCATTTATAATAAACACAAAAGCACAATGTGGTCTTTGGGAAAGGCCTAGAATTTGCTATAAAGGGTTTGTGTTTGCTTTGTTGCCTTTTACACGATTTTCATTTTACTCTTTGAGGTTTGGTTACTGCTGCAAAATTGAACAAAATTTACTTATCAAAATTTGATAAGACTTTTTTCAAGGAAAAAATCAATTTAGGAAACTAAAATGAATAGTCACACATTGTTGTTAATTGAGATATTGTTTGTTTTGTTTTAGGCCACAGTGATGTTGTCATGGGATTGGTGTCTGTTAACTCTGAAGAGCTCCATAATCGGCTCCGTTTCCTGCAGAACTGTAAGTGGTAAAAAGCCTGTATCTTGTGTGTGTGTGTGTGTGTGTGTGTGTGTGTACACATGTGTGCAGGGGAAGACAGGGCCTGCTCTCTCTGTCCACCTTACTTCTTTGAGACGGTCTCCCCTGAGCTGCAGTGAGGCTAGTGCCCCGTGATGCTCCTGTCTCCACCCCCCACAGCACTGGTGTTACAAGTGTGGGTGCTGGGATCTGAACTCAGGCCCTCTTCTTGCACAGTGGTCACTCTTGCCCACTGAGCCATCTCCCTAGTCCCTAAATCCGGCATTTCTTTTGATGCCTGCAGGGATTACATTTGATATTGCTTGTATTTTCACAAAATGTGAAGCCTTTAGAGTAAAAAAATATGATTTTTAGAAGAAAGCAGAAGAAAAAGATAAATTCTGTTTCCTGTTTATGCCATTTAGTTTATCTCAAGTCTGATAAGTATAGATGACCATTGCACTTTGACACATAGAGATTAAAACACCCTTCTAGAAATCAGTATTAAGTAGGCAAAGAGGTAGAGGGGGGAGCTGGTTTACTGCTTGATAAATGTCCTTTTGATTATGAAAATAGCCATGAGGTGACTGGATAAGTGTGCACTGCTCTTCCAGATGACCTGAGTTTGGTTCCCAGCACCCACATCAGGTGGCTCACAGCCACCTGTAAGTCCAGCTCCAGGGGATCCGGTGCCTTCTTCTGACTTCCACAGGCACTGCACTCAATGTGCACATGACCACACCCAGATACATGTACACACATTAAAAATGAAAATTAAAGTCATTAAACATAGGAACGAGGTGTGTATTGTTAGACTTGTAGTAGCATACTCCATACTCACCATGAATGAACTGCTCATTGGTTCTGTGGTGCATTGCAAGGCTACACGGCGTGCCATGTCACTAAGTCATATAGAGACCCTTCATGCTCCAAGGGCCGCCTTCGTTACCTGGTTGACAGCACGTTCCTTTCTCTGGCTTAAAACAACCTTCTCTAGTGTATTTTCTTTTTATTTATTCATTTTATTTCATTTTTAATATACTGTACTGAATTTTTGTATATTTCATACAGAACATTTTAATCCTCTTTATAGCCCCTTCCCCATCGGCCCTCCCATAGCTCCCCTCACCATATTTCATGCATGCTGTTGTTTATTTGTATATTTCATACAGAACATTTTAATCCTCTTTATAGCCCCTTCCCCATTGGCCCTCCCATAGCTCCCCTCACTGTATTTCATGCATGCTGTTGTTAAGGCCTATGGAGTTAAGTTAGTGTCCCCTGATGTCCCTCAGAGCACATTTGTCCACTGGGGTCTGTCACTCTATCTAGAGTCCCTCAAAGTGTATTTTTCACTGTCATGCTTTATTTGAAAACATTTTCCTCCCGAAACACAAACGCTGGGCTTCGTAGCTTCTCAGAGTCAGAACCAGAGAATTCCCTGGGCCCTGCCATATCTTCGGGCCAACCCAGGCTGTGTTTCTTTTTCAGCAATCGGCGCGGTTCCTTCTCCTTTTGACTGTTACCTGTGCTGTCGTGGTCTGAAGACTCTACAGGTCCGCATGGAGAAGCACTTCAAAAATGGCATGGCTGTGGCCCGGTTCCTGGAGTCTGATCCCCGGGTAGAGAAGGTCGTTTATCCTGGTATGGCAGTCGAGCTCTGCTTTCTCAGACTTTCTCACTGTTCGTTTGTCAGCGACACTGAGTCAGGGTCTGGCGTGGGCTTAGCAGAAAGTGGATAGACAAAGGATTGGTCTTGTGGTGCCTGTGGGTACTGGATGTCGGGTGCTGAGTGTCCCATGCTAGATGCGTCCTTGGTAATTTTATCTCTAAGGCTTGAGTGTACCCACTCAGATCTCAGGACTTCTCGCCGATTGGCTGGTGTGCCTACTGTTTATTACTGGCTCGCTATGATCTGATGGGAGTTTGTCCTGCTGCGTCTTGGTGGTCTAGGGTTTTCCTGAGGCTCTCTTCCGTTCTTTGCTCTTTTAAGAACCCAGGGTGCTCATGTGGGTTAGCAGACTCACTGCTACCCTAGGATTGATTTGACTAGTCTTTAAGTTGTGGTGGTCTTAAGAAAGTTTGTTCTTTTTTACTTTCTTTCTTTCTTTTTATTTTATGTGTATGAGTATCCTGCTTGCATGTATGTGAGTGTACCACATGTGTGCAAAGCCCACAGAGGCCAGAAGAGGGTGTCAGATCCCTGGAACTGGAGTTATAGATGGTTGTGAGCTGCCATATGGGTGCTAGGAATTGAACTCAGGTCCTCTGGAAGAGTGGCCAGTGCTCTTAACCACTGAGCTGCTGCAAGTATGTTCATAGAGCCTGTGGCCATGGTGTCTTGAGTACAGGAAAATTAAGAATTTTTTTCAAGGAAACAAGAAAATTGAGGGCAGAAATGTGTATGGGAACAGACCCTACCTCTCACTGTAAAGAGCTGTTGACTGGGGTCTGTCTTGGACAGAGGGAGAATGAAGAGCTCTGAGGTGTGCCCTGAGGAGGGGAGCAGAAGGGCACGGTCAGGCTTCCTCAGACACGTTCAACAAATGTTGGGCCTGGATTTTCACTGAGTCTAGGGATAAATACTGAGGAAGGTTGGGGTCGATCTGCAAAGAAATGGAGGAGGGGGTTTGAATATGATCACAATATAGTGAATGAAATCCTGAAGAATCAACAGAAATATTATTTTTTAAAAAAAGCGAATAGAAGAAAAGAGAAAGACTACTGGCCTCACGGAGGTCGTCTTGTGGGTTGGACAGATGAAGTAAGCGAGGATTTAGACGGATATAACTGAGAAGGGGAGTCAGCTCACAGGGAGAGCACGTGCAGAGGCCCTGGATGAAACAGACTCTTGCTTCAGGGGGTCAAAAAGGTGATGTGGCTGGGGCATGGGAGGTGGAGGGGAGATGTCAGGATAATGTTGGAGAGGGCAGAGGCCAGAATGTCAGATGTGGCCCTGCACAGCACCTTGTCAGGCTTACTGGCAGGAGACTCAGGAACAGTGAACGTGTCCCCTTGACGTTGTATGTCTGGCTCTAAAATGAGATTGCCTGGTGCCTTGTGTTTGCAGGACTGCCCTCTCACCCACAGCATGAGCTGGCCAAGCGCCAGTGCACGGGCTGCCCCGGGATGGTCACCTTCTACATCAAGGGTGCACTGCGGCATGCGGAGGCTTTCCTCAAGAGCCTAAAGGTGAGCGTGGCTCAGGCGTTTCCTCTGAGATTCCAGGTGATCATTCACTGTTACCCCCAGGCTTTGTGCCTGTGGATCGTGTCCACAGCCAGACCAGTCAGAGCTCTCCTGGTGTCTCACATCTGTCTCTAAAACTGGAAGGACAGAATTAATTTGATTAGGCTAGAAGAGTAATTTTTACCGGACATTTAGTAAAATTAACTGGCCAGCTTAATAACCTGGGGCATTAAGACAGGAGGACCACTGGATTCCTGGAGTCTCAGACTAGCCTGGGTAACATGGTAAGAACCAATCCCAAGGGGAAAAAAAAGAGGAAAAGTAAACTTTCACCACATTGTAACACTGTCTTAGTCTCTTGTTCTTGTTCCTATAAAAAATATCTGAGGCTGGGTGTATTGGCCTATTTTTATTTCTTTTTTTTTTTGTCTTTTTGAGACAGGGTCTCCCTGTAGCCCCAGCTGTCCTGGAACTTACTATGTAGACCAGGCTAGCCTCGAACTCACAAAGATCCACCTGCCTCTGCCTCCCAAGTGCTGGGATTAAAGGCGTGCACCACCACGCCTGACCCCAATTTTTTAATTAATTCGTGTGTGTGTGTGTGTGTGTGTGTGTGTGTGTGTGTGTGTGTGTGCC